ACATCATTCCCCTCATCATCTCCTCTTTCTAAGAGGTGTAATTTCTGTTTGCACAAGGATCTTTTTTTCTTTTTCTAATAAACATGTTTGAATTTGAATTTCTACAGTCTTTGAATTTTTTCACCTGCTCTGTACACATGTAAACATTTGTTATGCAACTTTAAAATACATGGAGTTTATTGCAGGTTATTTATACTTCCAAATTTAAACACAGTTTTGTTCATCACAATCTTTTTTGCAAAAAAACCCAAAACACGAACGCTATATGAATAAATATACACATGTACATATAAAAGGATGTATAATTGTAAATGATTTGTTCCCACTTGTGCGAAAAAAAGGACTGTGACAAGAAAAGTTAATTCAGTACAAACGGGTTACTATTTAGGTGTTCACTCCAGTTGGATGCATCACGTTTCCTTCATTAACCTCACTGAGTGCATTTTGCAGCATTAATTTAACCCTCGACTTCCATAAGCCTCACACAAAGCTTGTTTTAGCTTCAGCATACAGCTATGATAATTTTGGTTTCTTATACACATAATACATTACTTTAAACCTGCACGCAGGAGGATTTTATAATGTGACATTTACTTTTTTGGTGAGTAGAATCACAAAAACTAAAAAACAAAAAGGCCAAGTAGGTAAAAACCATTTTATAAACAGTATGTGCAAAGCACAAAAGTGGAATAAATACACTCATCTCACATTTGTTAAACATCCACAATAGAGATAATGAGATTATAAAGTTGCTATTGTGCTTATGAGTCTAAATAAAAATCATCCCTTCCTTGTAATTGTACAAGTGGCTGCTTAATAAAATATTTAGCAGTGCATAACAGTATTGGTCGGTATCTGAGGGGAGCAGCAAGGACCAGAAAAATGCAACTTAAATCACAAAAACAGGAAATGTGAGGTACAATTATGAATTATGGTAGCTGAAATGTTCAAGGATGTTTCAAGTCTGCATTCTCGAGCAGCTGGAAAAATTTGGAAAGGTTGAACCACTCCCCCAATACAGCTGCTAATGTAATGTCATAGAGCAAGGCACTTAACCTTCAGCTATTCCAGTAAAAACAAAAGCTGCTCAGTAGTTGTAACAGGTAATTCTAGGTTCTAAATGTTGCCCAAAAAGGCTAAAAACAATACGATTAAACATAAAAAAATTTATTTATATTGCACATCATCATGCCCCAATCAATCCTCCACTGGTGACAAGTCCCTCTCACATTTTGAAGTATTCAATTGCTCAATATGATATTTTTCGGCTGTCGGTTTCCTAGGCTTCTCCACACAGGGTTACTGTCTCACACATGTTCACAGTGTCAGGCACAGTCACTGGAGTTTCCTCCACCTTTAAAGACAACATCACACAGCCTGGTCATCTTTTAGTTATTCATATTAAATTATAGCTTCAATCTAAATGTACATTAACAACAAGAAGCGTGCACATCGGTTTTCACCTGTTGTTGTGTTCCCATGTCCTCTGCTGCACTTTCTATGATAGCACTTTCTTTGCACGTGATACTTCTGTCTGTGCTTTTCTTCAGTAAAGCTTTAGAGGCCAGCTGTAAGGCAGCTTCTTTCTCAGTTACACCTGCAGAATGGAACAACAGAGGGGAGTCAGCAAAGAATATGTGAGGTGTCCACTGTAATATGTGAAATGGGAATATTAAGTAAAACTTGATGGTAACATTGTGGGTTTAAGGACCAGAACTTCAGAAATTGTTACATTTTAGTGGACACAAAATTATGTAGTGCAGTAATAAAATGCTCCAGCAGGAGGCAGTTTATTAAAGTCCATTTCTGAGTCTAAAGACTGCTGGGTTCCATCTGTTCATTT